AGACCGAGAGAAACAAGTGGGCAAAGCGCCGCTTGTGGGATTCTTTGACTTCTTCAAGGTGGGAAAAAGCTTCAATGCAAACGTTACAAATGATCCAGATGAAAATTTTAGTTTTTTAAGGGAAAAAATGTGCATAGAGTAAAAGTTTGTATCTCCTCTTCCAGTACAAATACCAGGTAAACGTGGATGGAACGGTCGCAGCGTATCGGTTTCCTTACCTGATGCTGGGGAACAGCCTGATTCTGAAACAGGACTCTCAGTACTACGAACACTTCTACAGACACCTCCGAGCAGGCACTCACTACGTTTCTGTGAAGAGAAACCTGTCGGACCTTTTAGAGAAAATCAAATGGGCCAAAGAGAACGATGCTGAAGCGGCGGAGATGGCGCGGGCGGGACAGGCGGCGGCCAGAGAACTGCTGCAGCCCAGCCGGCTCTACTGTTACTACTACAGGGTGCTGCAGACGTACGCCGAGCGGCAGAAAGGGAAGCCGACGCTGCAGGCAGACATGGAGCTGGTGCCTCAGCCGGACGATCATACAGCCGCATGTTCATGTTGGCGCGAAAGTCACAAACAGAAATCCAGTAAGAACGAATTATGACCGCGCCGCTGTAGTTAGTCGTTTCTACTTTGATGGGTATTTGGTGTTAAAAACATTCCTGAAACAAAAAAAACAAACCTGATGAATGTTTCTGATGTTTTCATTCCATTTTTAATACTTTTATTAAACAAAGTCTGTTTTTTTTTACTGTTAGTAACCACAGGAAGTTGTATTTATAAATATTGGGAAAATGTAGCTTTTTTAAAGTGTGCCTTTTTATGTATATAATATTTTCTTTTTTTATTTACTTGAAATAAAGCTAAGAAGAAATGATTCATACCTCTAACAATTTTACATTTTACTGCCAAATTTTTCTTAATAAAAGTAATATTATAGTTTTTTTTTTAGCAGCACAGTCAGAGTCCTGACTAGAATCTGTGTAAATATATGGGGTGACGGAAAGGAGATAAAAAAAAAAAAAAATCTGAATCTAGTGAACGGGTCTGTTTAGTTCTGCTCTCCCAATAAATGCTTCAGGAAATACAGTTAGAACTCTAAAAATACAAATATCATAAGAAGTTAAAGTATATTTTTAACTTATTTTTTGAAGATAGTCAAATATTTCAAATCTTTTGTCTTTTAAATTCAATGATTTTGACCTTCAGAGAAAGAAAACCCCAATTTTTGTTTCAGAAGATTAGAACAATAACGGTTTTAATATAAATGTTATATAAATAGCAATTTCAGTCGTACGACAATCCAAAGTGCTGTACATGAGGGGAAACAAAGCATAAACACAATGAAAATGAAAAAGATTAGATGATATTTAAGTCGGGGAAGACTACTGACTGACCCATAGAGGGCAGTAGGGTTTTCCCATTCTGCTGGATTCTGAAATACTACGAAAGAGTTGAGTGGAAGGGAAAAAAGTGCGACTGACCAGCCTGCAGTCATAAGAGGATGATCACACCAAATCCATCGGAAGAACTTTGTGGGCCTTCAAAAGGAGATTGCCGCATCAAGAACGCTGTAGAGGAATCCTATGCATTGTCCACAGATGTCATCATGTGGGGTTTCCCGCCACATGCAATTGATTGTGGTGCACCCCTACAGCAAACATAAAAGGTGCCACACTTTTAGGCTTATTAACAAATGTTAATTTAAAGCATATAATTATGTATCATTTTGCCTAAATACATTTGAATATCATTAAATGTTAAAATGTACAAAATGTGTATCGCTGGGAATCTGGTTAGCATATGAAGCTAACTAGTTGCGCTGCTCTCTGTGGAGAAAAAACAAGATGACATTCCAGGGATCTTGTTTCTGCTCTGCTCCCTTCAGTTTGTAAGTCAGATATGGGATACTTATCTTTTGGTTTAGTTTTATTTAGCATTTAATTACAACACATGTCTTTCCAAGAAATATCACAAGACAAGCAGTTCCAATTTAAATACAGGTATGTTCAAATTCAGCAAGAATCCATTTGATGTATTCTAGTACAATCCAGTCATGCTCACATTTCAGTTCAACTACAGTCTGATACAATACAACCTTAATTATAGCAAAGAAGTAAACGGAAAACCAAATGAACAAATAATTACTCCAGCTACTTCCTTCATGTGTTCATAACAGCCATGTTGGATGTTTTGTTTGGGATTGGGGAAGGACCTTCCAAATGTTTCAGTTGGATTCTATTTGTAACTCTTCTGTAATAGCTACGTAAATCAGCTGTTATCACAGCCTGACAATTGGTCTAATAATGAATTACACTTTATGCATTTTTTTTAGTATGGTAACATACATATTAAAGATGCCATAATACAAATTCTGACAAAATAGGAAACCATGTTCACTATGGAAACTATAGGTGTTAAATAAATGCCTTGTCTCTGCCACATTTTTATCTGTCTTAGATTATGATTACCTTTTTTATAAGAATGCTACTTCTTAATGTCTTCAAATGTTGGACTCTGTTTCCCATGCTTCATTAAGGCTCATTACAAACTGTAGAGCCATGACATCACTGTGACCTGTACTCTCAGGTGGGATGGCCTTCCCTCTCTACTAGAAGGCAGTGTCATTGGTACACTTTTATTTACAAGGCCCTTCTTGGATTATTGCCCTCTTATATTTGTACCTGTTAGGTTTATTCTTTATACATCATGGGCATTGTTATTGTGTTAGCCAGATTAGACAGAGTAGAGGGCCTTCCTTCACATGGTGGATGTCACTGTGTGTATGGAGGTCATCTCATCAGGACAGCCTTCGTTTCTTTAGAAATACACAGGATATGGGCACATCTTAGAGCCGGTCTGATAAAGGGGAGCTATCTGTAATTCTTTGGCATAGAGGCAAGATGCATACAGGTCAGGGCATGGATGGCGTGTCAGTTTCTGATACGGACAGCTAAGCATCCACCTGATGCGACACATAGACTAATGAGGTATAAGAAGCAGGAGATTACCTTGGGCTCAATCTTTGCCGGACGCTCGCTGACGTTTTTTGAGCCCACAGCTGTGCAAGCTCCAAGCAATTTCTCTGTCCTTTAACGACCGGATCTGGAATAAACTCTGTTACTTGTTTACTCCTGTTTTTATAGTCCTTTTTATATGGTTTTACCCAGTTTGAGTTAAGAGTAGTAAATAACCTGCTCCCAGAAAAAGAACCGGTAGGGAAGTTCTGAGGCGCAACCGCTATCAAGGGGACATAACTTCCATATTAACATACCTTAGTTACACAGAAAAACATGGCTTCTTATGCTCTGAGATCCAACGATCAGCTGTTGCTCACTGTTCCTTTGGCTGCAAAGAGCCAGGGAAGAAGAAACTAGAAGTTGACTGAGTTTTTATCTTTAAATGCTTTTAAGGTGAAAGTGAAAGAATTTGAAGCAGCCTCAGTTATCTGTAATTGTTTTACTTTGTTTTTAATCTACCTGTCATTTAATTTAACGTATCTTTGTTTATTATGTAACTTTGCTGCCTCTTGGCCAGGACTCCTTTTAAAAAGAGGTGTTAAATCTCATTGGGATTTTTTCCTGGTTAAAAAAAAGGTTACCAAATATATATATCTATATAGATATTCAGAAATCAAACTTCTAAAATTACTTTAAATATAAATTTTTGTATATGCTGTCCAATAAATGATGTCTCAGAGAATTTCAGTTTTCCTGCAAGCCCCTCTCCCCTCTTCAAGTTTGTGTTTTCACTCTACCTTGCTAAGTGTCCCTATTGTAATGAACATAACCTGTGATGTGACCAGCTCTTCTACCTGAGACTGGATAAAGGCTGAAACAAACTGGCATCAGAACAAGAGCATGCTCCAATTCTATGGGTGAAATGGTTGAGAAAAAGGATTTGGCACAATCTGGCACATGTGGAGAGATTTGGAGACACTAGTGACACCAAAAGTTTGAAGCCCCACAGCTCTGGAACTGTTGTAGCCAGAGGTCTGAAATGTGTGGTTGACATGATGTAGAACAAATGTAATAAAATGAGACATGCCTGTTCTCAAGGATGTCTTTATTTCTTCTGTTCAAAAAAGACCTATTGTTTTTGAGAATGAAAAATAACTATTTTGAGTCATGTTTGAACTGATGCAGCTTAGGCTGTGTTTTACTCACATATTTTCATTTCTATTTTCAGAAACTAGAAGGTGTTAGCCTTAAAATGATGTATCACACGTGTAATTGGGCTTACAGTTCCTAAGTTATTTTCTTTTCCATTTGGGTATGCAAAATAGGCGAGGATTACTTCAAATTGGGTGGGCGCTTTAAGAGTAATTTTCCTTCGAATGTCTCTTACCGCAGGCATCCATGTTTGTCAAAGAACACTACTGCCACCCTTATGTTTGTGACGTCACGGTGCGGTATCGGCTGTTGATCAAGTCCCAGTGCTGTATCTGGTGTTTGTCACAACGCGCTATTATCCAAGTCATCTTGGAAACATTCTTCTTCCAAATGTTGGCTACATATCACGTGTTTTTTCTCTGGTCAGGATTTCAATGGCAAATCCTCCCTCTTCAAGTTGGCGATCAAACGATGAACCCGTCCGTGTTGGATCATCATGAATCAGAAAGGTGAAATAACTAATTTTTTTTCTCTTTTACCCGATGTATTCCAATATCCAACTGCCATGCACGTGGGCATTGTCAGCTTAACTATAGTCCTCTCGAATTGTTGGAGATTGCAGATGTGTCTAGTAGTTGCCATTGATTTAGCTTGTAAAGCGGGGAGAATGGCGCTATGCTAACCGCACTGTGACATTATTGCGGGAAGATGGCAGGAGGGAGGGGCTACTATATTTGGGTAAAAATGGCCGCTCCCATTTATAATTATTCATCATTTGAAACTGATATCTTCATTATCAAGCACAATCCTGTAATCTCACTTGATCAATGCTAAAACCCAATTTTTATGTCAGAATGTTTTAGCATCCTCTGGCTCCCATGCATCCATCATAAATATATTTATTGTTTGGATAATGTATCTGAGAGGTAACTTCCAACGTTCTGAGAATATATGTTAGTCTTGCCTCCAATTCTCAGCTAAATTTAATCATTAGTGTGAGCGCCTCCTCTGTTTTCTTTGTGAAGATGGCCTGCATCATGCCTAACGGTGTATGGAAGTACTTTAAACCTTTCAGGAAGTTTTCAATCAGAGCTCTGTCTATTCTGTCATATTTTCCAACAGCTGCTTCAAAGTTGTTGCTCAGGACACCATAGATATTTTCCATGTCGTCCCTTTTTCCAAAGAACAGAAAGAGGGCGTAGCAGTCCTTGCCAATAGAGGTGCAGAAGTCCACCATCCGCTCGTACGCGTTCTGGTTCCTGGACTCCATCTGGGCCATCTGGATGGACTCGCTGACGGGTTTCCTGGCGGCTGCTCTTTCTTCAGCTTCCTCCGTGTCCGGCAGGTGGAGGACCTGCACTGCGATCTGTATTTTAGGGTTCTTGGTTGGTTTTTCCAGGATGGCCCAAACCCAGTCAGCACCCAGGAGGATCCGCTGCTCGGGCGTCATGGCGGTGCAGTTGAAGGCCTCTGTCAAGTCTTGGTTAACGCTTTGAGTCATGTAAGTCATCAGGAATACCTGGTGGACAAAGGAAAGTGTAATATCTACTGCACAGACACTAACAGGGTATTTCCATGCATTTTGACCAAGTTTCTAGGTGATTTGTGCAGCTACCTGAGTCAGTGTCTGAGGACTCGGCTGAAACTTGCCCTCTGGATCTTTGAACACAAGATACTCCTGGGTTCTGGTCGATGCAAAAGAAATGCAGTCACTAATGACACGTGTGAAATCGCTGGACTTGTTTGCAGGTGGTGTGATCAGCTTGGCGAGGACGCCCTTCCTCGGCAATACGATCTTATCCAAGGAGGATTTCTGAGGTGAGAAGCGTTTTAGAAAGCTGAGGAAACTGGAGTTCTGCGTCCTTTTAGAAGTGGTGTTGCTGATCTTCTGGCCCATGGTGGAAGGTCGGAGGAGGGCAGAAGATCAAAGGCTGGTCTCTCTGATGCACTGAAAGTAGGAATTAGTTTAGACTGAAAGTTATTAATAAGTATTTTTCTTTTTTAACGTGGAGGGAGGAAAGCAGAAAATGTAGGTGAGTGGTTCCCATAGAAAGCAGCCCAGTATAATTGAAAGGAATGATTGTGATAGAAATAAACGAAATAAATGACCCTTTTCCAGAGGCATCTAAAAATGTGTAATGGCAGCAATGTTAAATTCTGTTTGACACTGAAATCAAAATATTTAGTTTTAAAAGTTACATTTATTGCAATGCGTAATTTTCTGTCTTAAACACACACAGATATATATATATATATATATATATATATATATATATATATATACACTATATTGCCAAAAGTATTTGCTCACCCATCCAAATTATTGGAATCAGGTGTTCCAATCACTTCCATGGCCACAGGTGTATAAATTCAAGCACCTAGGCATGCAGACTGTTTTTACAAACATTTGTGAAAGAATGGGTCGCTCTCAGGAGCTCAGTGAATTCCAGCGTGGAACTGTGATAGGATGCCACCTGTGCAACAAATCCAGTCGTGAAATTTCCTCGCTCCTAAATATTCCACAGTCAACTGTCAGCTGTATTATAAGAAAATGGAAGTGTTTGGGAACGACAGCAACTCAGCCACGAAGTGGTAGGCCACGTAAACTGACGGAGCGGGGTCAGCGGATGCTGACGCGCATAGTGCGAAGAGGTCGCCAACTTTCTGCAGAGTCAATCACTACAGACCTCCAAACTTCATGTGGCCTTCAGATTAGCTCAAGAACAGTGCGCAGAGAGCTTCATGGAATGGGTTTCCATGGTCGAGCAGCTGCATCCAAGCCATACATCACCAAGTGCAATGCAAAGCGTCGGATGCGGTGGTGTAAAGCACGCCGCCACTGGACTCTAGAGCAGTGGAGACGCGTTCTCTGGAGTGACGAATCGCGCTTCTCCATCTGGCAATCTGATGGACGGGTCTGGGTTTGGCGGTTGCCAGGAGAACGGTACTTGTCTGACTGCATTGTGCCAAGTGTAAAGTTTGGTGGAGGGGGGATTATGGTGTGGGGTTGTTTTTCAGGAGCTGGGCTTGGCCCCTTAGTTCCAGTGAAAGGAACTCTGAATGCTTCAGCATACCAAGACATTTTGGACAATTCCATGCTCCCAACTTTGTGGGAACAGTTTGGAGCTGGCCCCTTCCTCTTCCAACATGACTGTGCACCAGTGCACAAAGCAAGGTCCATAAAGACATGGATGACAGAGTCTGGTGTGGATGAACTTGACTGGCCTGCACAGAGTCCTGACCTCAACCCGATAGAACACCTTTGGGATGAATTAGAGCGGAGACTGAGAGCCAGGCCTTCTCGTCCAACATCAGTGTGCGACCTCACAAATGCGCTTTTGCAAGAATGGTCAAAAATTCCCATCAACACACTCCTAAACCTTGTGGACAGCCTTCCCAGAAGAGTTGAAGCTGTTCTAGCTGCAAAGGGTGGACCGACGTCATATTGAACCCTATGGATTAGGAACGGGATGTCACTTAAGCTCATATGTGAGTCAAGGCAGGTGAGCAAATACTTTTGGCAATATAGTGTATATATATATATATCAAATATCTGTTATTGTTTGGTCTGCCAGTGCTACATACTTATATTTAAAGAAACACTTACCAGGATGGGTCTTGAATTCGCTGCGGTATGGACTCCTCTGCCTGTTTTGAGCTCCTCTGCCTTTCCTTGCCGAGATATACAACGTCCGTCTGTCTGTGTGTGTCTGTCTGCCTGTGTCTCAGAAATAACCCATCACAGCTCAACATTCAGAGGGACAAGGAGGACTCATGGGAGGAACAGTTAAAGCTGTCTGGCAGCATTGGGTGTGGTGTTTGCACCTTGCAGCGTGGTAGGTCAACAAAAGATTCTTGTTAGGAGTTAACAGCCATCAGCATTAGAAGAATTTGATCAGCAAACAAAACGCTTAACTGTCCCGTTTCAAAAAAGGAACAGCGCTGAAGACATGAAGATCCAGATAGAGACATTAAAGTTTCATCAAAATGCAGGTTAGGCGGGACTCGTACTGTAATTTTTACCAGGGTTTAAGGCAGTATGGAAGATTTATGCTAAATAAATCATTTATGCTACTTTTTAATTTTACCCTGCTCTCATAATTATTAAAAAACTGGTCCATATAAATAGTTCTCCAGCATATCAATCACAGTGAATGTTTTTCAGACATTCTAGGGATCCTTTTTCTTGTGCATGGCTGAATTTGAGCCCAACTTCAGATTTACTCACATTTCACCAAAAATGAACTTAAAAGCTGCATCATCTGCAACCAAGATTAAACGGCCTCCTTTATGCCCCGATCATTATTCTCCACTACTGTGCCCCAACACTTTTTGCTCTGTGAAGTTATTCCATTATATATCCAGCCTGTTCATCGACTTTTCCCCACAGAGGTAGAAAGCTAAAAAAGCAGAATATGTTCAAAAGGACGACTATGTTAGAAGAGGAAACCTGATGATTTCCCACATCTACCAACAGACTTTGAAGTCACGTCAAAACTGGTTTTGCTGGAAAATTTACAAACATGAATATTAAAATACAGAGGTAGGTAGTAACTATTTACACTGACTCATTAGCTGTACTTTTCACTTTGACCAAGAAAACTTTCTGATTAATTTACTCACCATGAGTATTCTGAGATCAGTTGAATAGCATGTTATTTATTCTTTTTTTTATTCATTCTTATTTTATAGTTTTAAAACAATAAAATTTGCCATCGGATTACAGCATTTTGAATATTAAATCAAATGTTACAATCCTACTATCCAATAATTACTTGTTAATTGAGTAGCCATTTTATAAACTACATTTTAACTTTTATTTGAGCAGTTTCTTAACTTTCTGCTTTACTTGAGTAAAGAAATGTTAAAGTAGTGCCTCCGTTGACTGAGATAAAGTTTTGGGTTTTCTACCCACCTGTTAAAATTGTCCTGGATATCCTGGGAAATGACAAAAACTATAGATGAAGGGTTCAAGACCTGAGTTTTCATAGATCTGATTCATTATATCTTGTATAAATTTTCTGAAGCTTAATAGAAAACCAACATCCCAGTTAGTAAAAAAAAAAAAGAAAACCTCCAAAGTCTCAAAGGTGAAGCTGGAATGTACTGAAAGTTTATTAGACAAGAATAGCAGTCTATTGCATTTGATCATCCAGACATGGAAAAGTTCACCTGCTGAAACTTAAACGGAATCAGAATAGAAAAAGGAAACTGAAATGACCCTGAATGTGGCTTGGTTGGCAGGACAAGATGGTCGTAATGTTTCACAAACTGCTGATCTAGGATTCTACCACACAGCCAATTCAGAGAAAGGAAAATACCCAGGAAGACCAAAACGCCTCAGAGCAGAATAATTAGACGGAGGGACATCTTTGAACCCGCGACATGAACTGACAGTGACCTTTGAATATGGAGCAAAGAGCAGGTGGGGTTTGGATTGTGGGTGTTAAACAAAACTGTTATATTAGAACATATTTATGTTTATTTTAAATACTTTAGAGTGTTTCCATCTGCTTTTGGTCTTCAACATCTGTTTGCATGTTATCAGACTAGTCTACACCCGTTTACCCTCTGATGACACAACAGTCACAGATCACAGTGGTCAGTATTATTCATAAAGGCTGCATTAAACAGCTAGAATTAAAAAGGAGCAAAAAGTCTTTAAATGTAAGAAACTTTGACTCTTCACTGAGATCCAAGAAGTGCTTCTCAGTGTTTCAGTCCATTTCTGTGGGTGTTACATGAGGAAGCAGCAGTTATGATTGGAAGCGGCTCCGCAGGGCAGAGTTACGGCTGAGGGGCCGCACTGGCAGCAGGTCTCTGATGCTCTGCAGCATTAGCAAACCGACGACCCATCCTTCAAACCAGCGCCGTCTGTGACCGCCTCAGCTCCTTCTGCAGCTCCTCCTGGCTCAGCAGGTACTGGAGGCAAAGCATCATGGGAGTGGGGGAGTGTCAGAGAGGTTGGGCACTGGTGTTTGCAACTGAGCTGGGATCAGTTTATGCTTTCAGTACAGTTAAAACCATACTGATCAAATCAGAAGCGTTTTCTGGGAATGAGAGTTTTACTTTTTATATGATCAATTATTGATAGAACACTAAGAAGAAAAAACTTTTTGACGGAGGTGAGAAAATGCACTTGTAATTTTAAATATGAATGCCAAGTGCTATGCAACAGTTTGAAATGATTTCTTCCTGCTTTGTCTTTCCAAAAAAAAAAAAAAGTTCAATAGTTCTCAGGGAATTTCTCAGCTCTTTCAAAGTTTTCCTTTGGATTTCATCTGATTTCTCACTCATTTTCATTCGACCATTTTAGAGCAATATTTTTCTTTTTGATAAACCACTCAGTGTATCAACCACCGTTGACCTTCACACACAACAAACTACTTAGTTTTATTCATATACTGATAACAAAAATAAAAACTCTACATTAAACTATAGTGATAAAAGCCTGTCTGAAGAAAATAGGTCTTATGCTTGAATTTGAAAATGCCCTGTAGTTTATAGTAGGATAATTCTAAATAAATAGTTTGCTTTTTGTTACAAACTGACTTTTAGAGAATCACCACAGAGTTTACTGAAAAAAAGGGAATAAATTGAGATTCTGTGAGAGTCTGTTAGTGAAAAGAAACCAAACCGCTCCTCCATTATTAGCCTGCTATAAAAATGTTCCCTCTGAAGATGAAAATTATCATTTGGTTTCTAAGTTAAAGAGAATTATCAGATATTTTTATTGGGTCTGCATCTGGCATTCATTTTTTTATTTATTTATTGTTTGTCACTTAAGCTTCTATTTTAAATGTGCAGAATTTTCTTTCAATTTGTTTCCATTTTGAGTCAAAGACCCCTCAGAAAGGAGTTTCCCTGCCATCAGAGCCACTTCAAGCATTCAGCATGCTGAGGAGAGTGTACCTTCATCAGTATTTGCCCCTTTCCCACTTGTACCAACTTACAAGTGAGAAAGGCGCTCAGTTCACCTTTTCAATGTTTCCATTAGTCGCTATCTGGATCTATTACTATGTTTAGAGCTTGCTCATTGTGATTCCAAGTCACATCATTATTTGAGAACTATAATGTCAAAACCTTTTGATGTCGGGCTTCCTGTGTATATAAACACCTTTATAGCAACCAATAGGTAGTTTTAGCTATAGGTAGCGTTAGCTTAGCTTTACATGCGCATTAGATTTAGCCTTTTACAGTTGATTTTTCTATCTCTGCTTCTGTCTCCTTGAACCCCAGTGGGCCTCAGCAGATGGCCGCTCACACTGAGCCTGGTTCTGCTGGAGGTTTCTACCTGTTAAAAGGGAGTTTTTCTTCTCCACTGTCGCTACAAGCATGCTTAGTGTGAGGGATTGCTGAAGAGTCAATGAGTCAATCCAATTAACTGGTTTTCCTTAGAAAACCTTCAATCAGTTTGACTGGATGATCTGGTTGAACTGTAAAGTGCCTTGAGATGACGTGTTGTGAATTGGTGCTATAGAAATAAACTGAATTTAATTAATATCCTTCCATTTAATACCGCTTCTCTCTCTCTCCATATCCTGTCTATAACCAGGTTGCTTCTTCTAGCTGCCCACAGCCTTCCTTGGTTCTCCTAATTTACATTTAAGTCTGACAAGAGCCATAATGAACTAATCTGATCATAGCTGACCCAACTGGAATAGATAATCTGCCAATAAAGAAAGACGTAATAGGGTACCACCAGATTATGTACCGTTATAGGGCTCAATGATAGTTTTTTTTAAACCAATCTAACTGTATTATCTAACTGAATTGTTTCTCTAAGGTGACTTGAGATGACATGTTTTGAAATGCCACTATTTAAATAAACTGGATTAAACTAAAACATGTTAACTCTACATGCATGCAACCCTCATGAATCATGGAAGTCCTGAATTAGTCTGTGGCAGCCTTCGTCCACTGGAGATCACATTATAAATGCTTCAGCATCATTAAACGACAAAGCAGACATGCAGTAGTGTGATGGGGTATAAAAAATTTGATTTGATAGTATTTGTTTGAAGTGCTTTTTATTATTGCCAATTCATAGGCACAAGTGAATTGTATATTCACAGTGAGGTAGCTCCAAAGTTGCAGGTCAGGAATTCAACTTAGAGCTTTTGATCATAAATTAAACTTGATAAGCTTTGAGATTCGGAAATGGCAGATTTAAAAAATCATGTATCACTACAATAACAAGGGACACAACAGTAGAGCAAGTGCTTCAATGTGAGGAACATTCATTAGAAAGATCAACTCTTGATACTTTAGGTTTTGTTGCATTTTTTTCCACTTATGCTTAAAATTTGTGTTTTTTTAATCTATCACACAATGCGTTACCATTGTCAGGGTCAAAGGATGAATAGAAAATGAGTAATTTACAGTAATTTGACAAAATCCAAAGAAAAACTTGTGAATTTTCAATTAATATAATGTAATAATAGAAGTCTAACAGATTCAAACTGATCCCAAGTCAGCCACTGAATATTATTTTAGCAACAACAAAATACTTCATTTAAAATTGAAATTAGCCTTTTAATATTATTAAAACAGCTATAGCTTAGATATAGCTTTGTGATTACGGCTCAAATATGGAGTCAATTTTGTTCCATAATTTCTGTAAGAAAAGAAAACTTTTTTTAAACTTACAAAAATGTTTTAATTAATAAAAGATCTTAAGACAAACTTTCCACATTTCCTTAGATTGCAATATATTTTTTTAAATATTTTTTCCACATTTAATTTTTTTCCCAATTTTTTTTTCGGATTTAGCTTTTACAAATTGCATTCTTTTCAAATTGCATTTCACAGATGACATTCTCTTCACTTTAAGACCAATGCAAACATTCTCTCTTCTGCAGACCAATAGAAATCCATCTTTGCTCCTGACACCAGAGGAAGGCCCGCCCCCAGAACTAAAGAGAATGTGAACAAATACAAATTGTAAAAAAATAAAAAAAAGAAAACGGCAAAGTTTCTCTCAAAGTCTTATTTTTCATGTTTTTCAAAATGTCCTTTCTGGATTGCATTTTTTTTTTATTTCAATTTACAAAACATGTTATTTGATTGTAACAATAATAGAACAAAATTCACTCCATACTCAAATTTTCCAAGATGGTAAAACTTCTTTGTCGCTACAGACTGAGACCGTTTTCATGATAAAAACTACATGATGACCTGAAAAGAACCGAGCAAAAAGAAACACAGCTGAGAGCGTGAGAAGAAAAACACCACAATGTGTTTCTCACTTGTAAAAAAAAATAGTGCTATTGCCTTATTTTCACACAGTTGTGCAGCATTACATTGATTAGCTGTTTTTCTCAAATATTCAACTGAAGTTTCCATCTGAAAGATTTGAGCTTCTGTTGCTACAGACAACAGGAAGCAAGCTGCAGGAGCCATTAAGCAGCAGCTCGTGTGTGTTGGTGCTTACTGTGAGGTTGTTGATGCTTTCAGACAAAGCTTCTATTTCTAAAATGGTGCTCTCTGCGTTCACCATCTGCAACACACACACACATCCGTCACTGATGTAGACGGAAACATTTTCTGCATTTTAAAAGACTGGAATGCATTCAACAGTTCCCATCAGAAGTCTACATTCGGTCATCATTGGCACGAATCTCATCTATTTGGAGTTTTTAAAGATTCAATTAAACTCTTTTATTTACAGTTTGTTTTGTTCTCTTAAAATTAAATAATTTAAGCATGATAGAAAAATTGTCTAATATGCAAATCTATATTTGGATCGAGTATCTCAGTCATTTTGGTAGCCAAATTCTGCCTGGATACTTGAGCTTTTTTTTATAACCATAGGTTATACTTTTGTACAAAATCACAGACTTGATCGTTCCTTTATTGCTCCAGAGTAGCAGAAGCAACTGCCTTTTTGTTTTTTTCTAGGGATATTTAGAACTGCATTTGACCGTTAAAGTCAAACTGTTAACTGAGGCATCATTAGGTTTTTGGACCAACTGTTTCATTTACTTTGCTACATGCTCTTATAATTTTTTTTATTTTTATCTTTACTGCTTTCATTTTCCTTTGCACTTTGTATTGTCTTTGTAGTAAACTGTGCTTTACAAATATATTTGCCGTAGGGGAAGATTGTTGGAACTTTGAGTTGAGGATCTTAAAATAAGTTCTGCTTAAAGACAGATGGATGCCTGGATAGCATCCAGTTTCAATAACCTTAACTGTTTCTAAGAGACAAAGTAGTCAAATACTTTCCAGTCAGGATTAGGCCAGGAGTTCAGTGATGAATGCAGTGTAAATAAATAAATATGGCAGCATTTTGCACCATATTTATTTTGCGATGCACTAAACCTTTCCATATCAATGCCTTGTGCACCGTGACTTTAAATTGGTTTCCTTTTCTCCTGCACTGTTTACATTCTGATCACTGCTGCACTTTATAAATAGTAATCCTCATTCACTGTTGAAAAGTTGTATGCGTCGAAATCGACAAAGTTTGTCTAAGTCTGAGTGATGCTGGAAGAAAACAGAATAATGATGTAAAATTATTTTTCCTCTCCACTGTCGCTACAAGCATGCTCAATGTGAGGGATTGCATCCGAGTCAATGAGTCGATGCAATCAACTGGTTTTCCTTAGATAGAAAACTTTGAATCAATCTGACTGGATGATCTGGTGAACTGGAAAGTGCCTTGAGATGACGTGTTGTGAATTGGCGCTATAGAAATAAACTGAATTGAATTAATGCATTTAAGCCTGGATGTGTGATTTTGAAAATAGTTAAATGAGATTTCTAATCTGTGCACCCACTTCCATAAAAAAAAAAAAAAGATTCAAAGCTGTATAATTGTAAACACAAGTCAGCCATGAAAAAATGGTATTCATACCAGTGATGAGTGTAAACTGTTGGCTGACTAGTTTTTTTTTTTCTTGTCCCTGCAGTTATTCTGAGCCATGCTCATGCACCTCCATGTTACCTGTAATGGGGATGTTATGGTGTTCTGATTGGTTAGTGGTTGCTGAAGCTGCAAGGGCCACGGTGGTGATGAGGATGGTAAGGATGAAGGCAGGTTAGTGCTTGATGCAGTTTACTGAAGCGAGCTGCAACAGTGAATTCATTAGATTTCTGTTTCCTTTTTCATTTGATGGTAGAAGCATATAACAACATGTTTAATCTATAAAGAAACTTTTCCATAAAACAGACTCCTGAGTTTAGAATGAAACAAACTTTACACACAAGATTTATTTTCTTAAAGTATTTTTATAAATCTTGACATTTACAATTTTATCTTAGTTTAGCAAATCTTCTTTGCTATAAAAATATCATTACAATGATTAAGAAAATAATGGTATAAAAATCAACACCTTAGGTATCAAACAAAATACGTTGTAGTATCATTAGTTCTGTAGTGACATAAATATTAAATAAAATCCCTCCATATATTTCATTATAATATTGCACAGGTTGCTCTTAGCCTGATCAGAAAATAAAAGGTAAAATCCATGCAGAGGTTAACTGCGATTAAAAAAATATCTACAGGAGGTGTGAGATGCATTAAAGGTTGCTCGTTTATGCTGCATGACTTTTAGGAGCTGATGCAACAGGAATCAAGAGGAAGGCTTTGTTCTAGTATGATGGGATGGTTGGGTTGTTAGGCACAAGTCTAAGGTCTGAGGTGGAGGTTGGGTTAGTGAGGCATCTGGCTGCAAGTCGAGAACAAAATAGCACCCTGCAGGATGACTGTAGGTTGGTTGGGTTTATCAGGGTAGGTCCAAGTCTCTGCTAGAGTAAGGCACGGGGTTGGAAATGGAGTCGAAGCGAGCAGGAAGGGGTCAGGCTGCGAGCAAAGTAGGCAAAGCAGCAGTAGGGGATATCTGATTGGCTGATGGGAAACTTCGGAGTGTCCATAGAGTTATCTCTGGGGTTGTCATGGAGATGCGTCAGTTTTTCTCTCCTCATGCCCCACCTGGTCCCGGGGGAGCTCTCGGTCCAGGATGGGACTCAGACCCCTGAAGCCGGTGTACGGGCGCATCTGCACCCCGTTGGCTACAGACTGTCCCGACTCAGGCGAGGAAGACTCTACGGGACAGATGTAGTCTGTGGACTCGTCCGTCCGTCTCCTCCTGAGGCCCGTCAAGTTAGAGAAGCCCAACTTCTTTGGCTGCAGCAAAGACAGAAAAACAGTTTTACTCTTCCAAACTGTAGGTGATAGGAGAACATGTGCTAATTAAATTAAATTTCTTTATACAATACAACTTTCTGACATTTTTTCAAATTCTTTAAAAGGTTTTATTTAAAGGTATAGTGGAGGGTATTTTATTTCTGGGTGGATCAGCAAAATAAATGGTCCTCCTAATTTTCAATCATTCTGGTGATGTGTTACATAAGGCCGTCCTACATGCTCATCCCCATTTTCACAGTTTGTCAGTTAAAAATCACTATTAAGGTAAAAACAAGTGTTAGCTAAAAATCGTTAAATGTGGAGCTTGTTAAAATGTAGTTAATCATCTGACACGTCACATAAAATGTTATTAAAACCCCACAACTGAATAAAATCCGCCATGTTCTGTGTGGCTCTGTGGAAGTGAAACTCCAGCTTTATTCTGGCTTTAACGTTGCACTTCCACAGAGCCACGGCATCAAGGTGACCTCCCTCCTGCAGTCTGTTTCTACGGCACAGGTAAACGGCCATCTTTGCTTATAAAATTTTAATTTGGCTTATTCCTTTTTTTTAGGCAAACTCCTCCTATAAAAAGAGTGTTTGTTCCAAAAAGACTAAAAACACTAATTAAAAGGCTAAGAATTGTCTTTAGTCTTGTGCATTCCATAAAAAACGTGGAACATGTTTTCAGACAGACCGCAGAATGGACACTCGTTTAAAACACCCCGATTAATAACGGATAAAAACGAGTTTGTGGCGATGGCACCGTGTAAAATCGTGCCAGTTGGTTTTTTGATCGGAGGCTTGTGTAAAGTCCTCCACTAAGGTGCTTTTTCATGAAGTTTTTCAGTCCAGATGCAGAATGGCCAGTTCTGAAGGTCTCTTTGATTAATGACTTTTGTGCAGCTGTGGTAAAAGGCTTTCTGCTCCATATTTGATAAAACCATTCTCTGTGGGTCCAGGCTGGGTAGCAGAGGTCTGTTATGCTCAGGGAAAAATTGCAAATCTGCTTTTGGAAAGTAAGCTTGTACGAGTGATGCAAAGGGCAACTTTTAAACAGAGTTTGCACAATGAGAAATGGGCTTCTGGGCAGCTACAGGGATGTTAAAATCCTCCACTATACCTTTAAGATTTAAACACTAGTAACTATGCTTTAAACAAAGAACTGATGCTACAATTACAGACCAGCCTGTTTTGGTAGAAATGTTGTCCAGAAGCTACTGCAAGAGTAACTATAAAATATTAGATTGTTGGAGATGGATGTTTAACTGTTTCTCTTTAAAAGTCTGTTTTGATCATCAAGAGTCTTTAAAGTCAAAAGTAAGCCATGCACTTAAACAAGTATTCAGAAAAGAAACAGTCCCACAGCATCACAGATCCTCAGATTATTGGTAGGCATGAGGTGCTTTTCATCATTTTCATACTTTGCAACTGATCCAACTGAAGTATTTGTTGTCGACAAACCTTGACCGAAGTTTCATGGTTCCAGTCTCTGTATAGTTAGATTTTTTTTTTTCTATGAGTTTTTACGGCACTAGTGGCTCGTTTTTTCGACAGTAGGCTGACAGGAGAGAGGTTTTGAGAGAGGGGGAGGGACATAGGAAAGGATTCGAACCCTGCGTTAACGACCATTTTTTTCCGAATTTACATGAATCAATAATAAAAATGTCTGATCTCAGGATAGTTAAATTGACAAAGTAATTACGTTGAATATATTTTATAAGCTTCTATTTATGTTCAAATGAATAAGATTTGTTTGGAACTGAAGATTTAATTAAATTTTATGTCCAACCTGTAACCAATCGCTATTGTGTGGTTGTTTGAAATATTTTCAGAAATCTACCATTATTTCTGCTATTTGCTAATTTTCCGAAATACATTACTTTCAAATTTAAATAAATAAATAAAAAAACTTTTAGTAATTTCTTTAACTGATGACAGTTCAAATCTGTCTCATAAATCTGTTTCTGAGGGATTTAAACTCTCTTATGTCAACATGGAGCTTTAAAAACATCAAAGGTTTTGCACCATAAATGTTTCCATTTCAAGTTTTCTGGTGGATTATTCTTGCATGTTTCATTGAAGAACAGAGCGACTCAAAGCTGAGATTTCAGCGTCTTAAAAAGGAGAGGAAAAAGCTGGGGAGTCCAGGATTCAGTTTGCAGCATTAAACTAAGAAGGGCTCATAGATTAAACTGAGCTGACATGCAGAGGTCTCTGCACAGATCAAGGTGTTTTTCTTCACACATTAAAAAGGAAATCGGTGAACTGGGTGTGTTTTAGAACAGATCTATCATTCCATGCTTTCTTACCTTGACTTTAGCGGTGATGCTGAGTGGGGAATATCCTGCTGCTTCGGTGTACTCCTTCTTCTCCTGCTGCGCCTGAACCCCCACTAGGTTATTGAAGTTGGTGTTCAGGTGGCGCCTCAGCAGGGTTTTTTGAGGAGAGATGTTCAGCAGCATGGCCATTGTGTCGGAGTTAAACCGAGGCTCCAACATCTATCAGGAAAAGCAAAGTGAGCGGAGTGTGATTTGGATTCATGATTGTCTTTAATCGTTTGAATAAAGATGCTCACTATTAGCCCTCCATGAACACCACTGCCCCTCAGATTGGGAGCATACTCCGCCAAGTCCACCGATCTCAGCCACTCCATGACTCGGTGGTTGGACCATTGGACCACTTCGCTGGGACTGAACTCACACTGAGGTACAAGGAGACATGAGAACATAATCAACCTTAATACTAGTCCTCTTATAATACATTTAAACAAAGTAGCATAAACTAACAGGATGCACACCACCACTGGGTGAATTGCACATTGGCTCAGATTTGCCGAGTCAGCAAATTGCCATGCCTGGAAAACTGAGCATTTAATGCTAATTTTGGACTTTAAGACTTTAACTATTATGCAACACATTCTTCAACACAGCCTCATCTGACAATCACTTCACATTTTCATATAGAGCTGAAAGAGTTGTTTGGAGTAATCCATTATTGAAATATTCTTCAACTAATTTAGTAATCAATTCATCGTTAACTGGAGTATAGAGACTGTAAACATGTCTTTAGCTGACAGAGAAACCCACTTAGAGCAGTAATTATACCAAAACTATAAAAATATATATAAATATTTTGAATTTAAGATAAAAAAAAAAAATGTTTCTTCTGTCAGTATGCTCTATCCAGAACTCCACAAGTGGAAAAGTTTTAATTTCACCTGTTGTAATGTAGGAAAAAGTTTTCTTAAGGAAACTTTGTTAATCAGGTTATTAATCGATTAATTAATTAATCAATTGACTAAATTTTTGTTAGTTGCGGCCCTATATTCATGTAGATATTGTTGGCTATGAATATTGATAGGTAGAAACATTATCTGTATGAATAGAAACTTTTTAGTACGGTTTTGAATCATTGAAGAAATTTTGCGGTCCTTTTGTGGTCTGGAAAGAACCTTATAAGGTTATTGAATTCTATGTTAACCAAAGTGTTTGGACCTTGTAAACTATTTAGAGTTTAGAAGCCACTTGTTTAAATCTATACTGTTCTTTTATGAGATTTGTCGTAAAAGAAAAGTGTGAGTTGAACTTTAGGGATTTACATTTTTTACGGCATAAAGCAAATTTAAACACGAATATGAAATCCTCCTTTAAATTCACAGATTTAAATAAAAACCAGAAGGTTTAAATTAAGGATTTATATTTCGCACAGATGAATCATGTACCTCATTTCCAGGTCTGCGTTTGAGGCAGTTGGGGTTGAATTTGTTGACGTGAAGCACATGAATGGCACATTTAAGGCTGAGATGGTGCAGCTGGCTGGTCACTTTGAGGAACAGAAGGTCATTCTAAGAAGGCAAAGAGCAAAATAAGAGCAGGAAGAACGAACGCAAAGAGACGCCATCCAGCTTTATCTCAGTGAAACTCACCACGGTGAGGTACTGCAGCATCTGTCCGTCCACTCTCCCATCGTTAAACTGGTCTTTGTACTGGGGGAGGCCAATGTCATCGAGCCAACCTGGAAAAAAAAACGCACAGAGAGGATTTAATGAGGAAAGTCCTCAGAAAAACCTCAATACGACAGAGTAGAGATCACGTACGAGTGACCCAGATGTAATCGAGCTCTGCTGATTTTTCCTGCTGTTTGCTGGAGACGTTCTTTAAGGACAGCTGGAGCTTCTTCCTGTGGAGGGGATTTTTCATTGACAGCTCCTGAAGACAGACAGAAAAACCCACACAAACAGATTATCTGAGAACCAAAGCACAGTCAGATTGATTTGACTAATTATTATGATGCTTATAAAAGAGACAGAAATGTCATTATTAGTTGTAAAATTCCCATTGATGGGGGCGCAACTAAAGAGCCGTCTGAAAAGCAGAGACAGGCGTAGTTAAATATCAGACTGACAGAGAAGCAATAAGCTGAAAACGGATACACCTGCAGACATCTTAGATTGCCCTAGATATGAAATGAAAAAAGCTGAGGAGAAGCTGCACACAGACAAGTAAACATGCAGTTGACATAAATGGCTTTGGAAAAGCAGAAAATCTAAAAGGAATACTTGTGTGTGCCGTACCTTCTCTAGGTCGTGAGGAGCAGCCGCGAGCAGAGTCTGACCGCTGCTGACCCACTGCTGAGCGAGGAGGGCATATTGACCGAGTCCGATGTCCTCAAGCCAGTCGCAAACCTGCTCGGTGTTCCACTTAGAAAATGGCAGCTTCAGATCTCTGATCATATGGAAGGGAAGAGAAGCCAAAGTTAAAACCAGAATAAAATAGAAAGTTTAATCTATCACCCAGTGGCGGCTGGTCAATAGAGGGCGCTAGGGTGCCGCCCCACCCACCCAATGACCCTGATTAAGACATAAAAAAATATATATATTTTTTCTAATTTAATTCTAAATTAAAATGTTAAATATTTTGAAATATTTTCATATATATTTTTTAGATGTTCAAGATAAATAATCTTTAATGAGGAGTAAAGCGTCACATAATTTTTCATCAGATTGATGACACATTTCCGTCCTAGGGCGCAAAAATCTTTGCCCATTGACTCCCGTGAAAAGTTTTACACGCGCAGTAGCTGCTCTGCAATACAAAGGTATAGGAGAGCTCGGGGTGATGGAGATCTGCACCCTGGGGTGACAGGAAATGAATTTGCTCACCACCTCCCGCCTCAGTGGAGACGTTTTGCAGATGATTGACATGTCAAGTTGCAGAAACTGGAGACGCATTGGAGAGAGAGAGAGAGACATGGCGGAAGAAACATCCTTTTCCAGGACCTGGTTTAGCTACAAGGCTTGGCTAACTGCATGCAGCGAGGCTAATGCTTTATTCTGCCTGCATTCTTTTTCAAACATCAGGATCTGACCCAGCATGGATAAAGACAACTAGGACTGATTTAAAATGAATAAAAATGCAACAGATTGGTGATCCTCTAAAATTCTCATGATTACCTCTCTATATTTATTTCTCTCTCTGTATGTGAAAAATGTTCTTTAAGTTTAGATCTCAATTGTCTTGTTCCATTTGCAAAATGTCTCTTTTATGTCAAAAATTCTAGAACAAATGCACTTATTTAAAAAAAAAAATTACTATCTAGATTTCCATTTCTTCCAGTGCAATGATTGTAAAATCCATCTAGTGACCCCCTGCTGGGTGTCTCGTGACATCCGTGGGTTCCCGGCCCTATTTAGGGGACCCCTGGGTTCCCTAAATGTATGCATGGGTGTGATACACCAGAACCAGGATGAATCCAAACCTCTGGGTTGAAACATCGAATCTATACCAGTTATAAATTTTAGGAATGAGATTATGTCGTCTCCATGCAACACTTTAAAGGAATAGTACACCCAAAACATGATTAGCCTTCATTTTCTACTCACCCCCATGCTGAACAACACTCTGGAGTACTTTTTTGATATCTCAAATGCATCTGGAGATCTGGGAGGCTTCTTGCTGTCTGCTGACATTCAAATAATGGAGGTCTATGGCGCCCGAGGCAGAAAGGTCCATAAAAGTCCACAAAAAACGTGTCAATATTCCTCCATACTGCTCGTCCAATGTATTCCAAGTGTCCTGAGAGGGTAGCGTCCATAATTTACTCGAAACGAAGTCATCTAGAATGTTTTTAGAGCATAAACAGTAGTGTATAGGATTTCCTAAAAGCGCGTTCACGAGTCTACGGAAACCGCGGCAGACCAAACCAGATGAAAGTGCGCATTGTTCAGCATGGGGGTGAGTAGAAAATGAAGGCTAATCATGTTTTGGGTGTACTATTCCTTTAACTTGTTTTCCCTTCAGTCTTTTAAGAGTCGTCATTATAAATGAAACATGGACCCGATAAGAAAGTTGATAAGCGTGTTGTTGTACCGTGTTTTCCCTGGACGGGCCAGCCTCGGCCCAGCTGTCGCTCTGAAGCCTCCTCTCTTGAAGTCTCCCAGCTCCGGATCATGAAGCTGAACTGGGCTGCCCGACTGACTGCGGCGAATCCTCCACACAGCAGAGACACTTCATTTCTATTTGTCCATTTTCTACGTCCAGGTTTACTTTGAGAGAATAATCAGAGGTTGGATTCTTACCGTCCCCAGAGTTTTTTAATGCCTCTGTGGTTCTTCCTTTTCTCAGGAGAGACAGGCGACTGTTGTCCTGAGTCCAGTCCAGAGGATAGCGGGGACTGATCAGATAGCATGCGCTCCTCAAGCTCCGCCGGATGGTCTGACAGAAATAAAGAAAAGAAGAATTCAATCCATTTTCGTTTCAGTTGATTATTTTTACTTGGACTGAACAAAAAAGAACATCTCATGCTCTGAAGAGGAGACAAGAGATTGAAGACAATAACCTGCAACAAAATTCAAGGGCTGTCCATCGTCTACTTTTTCTAAGTAACACATTTAAACACATTAATTCTGTAAACAAACTTCAGATCGATGCTGAAAGTGAAAATGAACTGAAAACAAGGGGAAAAAAAGATCAGGATGAGATGCAATGTGACCATGCTAACAGAAACCAGCAACAAACAGAAAAACACGATAGAAAAAATGATGCCTAATAAGCTAAATCCTCAAAGTAACAGAATTGCACTTCAAATATGCAAACAAACAACAGCAAAGATGTGCAAAGCATTCAAACAGACTCAAATTAACAAATTAAATAAAACCACAGCCTCCATTTAGGGGGTCATGCATGTAGAAAGCATGCTAAATATAAGGTAAAATCGAAGGCTTCAGTGTGCAAACATTTAGACACAGTTTTACCACCAGCATGAACAGGATCTGAAGGGGAATGTCAAGAAGCCAGATGTTTTGCAACTTTTCCCATTGGTGATCTTTTTCCTTTAACTCAGTTTTTAACAGCCGGTTTTTAAAAACTGGTTCGACTCCATCAACTTAAACACAACACCCCCTCACTCCAAGCAGATTTCCTCAGCTACTTTTGGTTTACAGACTCTTTGTTGGGTTGAAATGCTGTACCCACCAACATTATAGAGGTCATGTTTCCCCGGAGATCCTGAGACCGTGGCGATAAGCGCAGCGAGGAGAGAGCAGAGGCCAGCGTTAATCACGTACTTCATCTTTAAAACAAATGCTGTGCAAATGCTGCTTTTTTCACAATTATGACAAGCACATCTATAAGCCTCTGATTGGTACAAGCAGCTCGTTTTCTCACAGTTTTAGAACAGAGTTTAAGCTGCAACCACTAGTGTTGAAGTCTAAGGGAAGCAGCTGTTTCAATCGTTGCATTTCCGAATTCTCCCGAGTGGTGCCCGACTTTACACGACTGAATATAGTGAATGTGATTGATGAAAGGTTCACAAGCAAGTTTGGTTGTGGTCGGTTTGTAGGAAGCATCTTGCTAACCAGTTAGCAACTTAGTGCTAGTAGGTTCCCAATGGGAAATTCCATTGGGACCAAGTAGCACTAAATTGGTGACTTAGAAACGACGCTGTCAAGGAACGCTATGGACAGCGGAAACATGCAAGAGGAGGAGAGTTTAGTGTCGGAGGTCGTGGATGAGTCTCCTCCTGTGCAAGCTCATTGGTAGAATTCCCTTATGACAGAAAAAAGGACACTTGAACGCGATTCATATCATTTTATCCACCGGAGGGGGGAAATATTTATTTTAATTCCGAATTCCTACTGCTGTTTTCAACACTTCATAAATTCAGCGCTACATCGTCAGACATCTCAGTTTTCTCCCCAACTTTCATTTCATCTCAGGCTGTTTTAGAGTCACAATATCGCATTACGTAGATGCACATGCACAACCAAATATTGTTGAACTTTTACTGGAATTCATGTGTGCTGGTCGAAACCAGAGTTTGCTCTGACACTGGAAAGAATGTTTATACTGACGTTCTCTGTTTATGCCAAAAACCTCTTAATATATCATCTTATTGCGTACGAATCAGCCATTAGGGATCTGATCATTGCTAAGACTCATACTTCAGCATGTACTGCTAGGATTATAAGGCCACGAATAAGGATATATAAGGCAGTATAGCTGCTTCCATATTTGGCGAGCCAGCCAGAATATTCTACACTCAATCATACAATTGTTTTATTTAGAGGAGGAAAGCGGGGACGAAGATGTTGTGGAAGAGGACGCCAGGGCGGCAGAAGCTTGGTTTGGTGTAGAAGGCTTCCAGCCGTCCATGTTTGAGCCCTTGCCTCGCAACGCTGCCAGTTCTGTTAGCTCTACGCCTGCCGAAGACACAGACGTCCATCCCCGTGAACACTGGGACGCAACTCAATGGGAAAGGAAAGGATTCTGGTTTCAACCGTTGCGTATATTAGCTGCGACTTAAGACATATACATAAGTTGATATATGATTGGCCGAATTTAGGTGTACGAGCCGACGTATAACTAACTAGCCTGCATAAAATAACGATTTTAAGACAGGGTTTTAATTCAAATAGAAATTTTCTAACTTTTGGGACAATATGGTCTGATAAAACTACATTTATACACATGTTTAAGCCAGAATGATTTAAAATTTAAATATTCAGTTTTACTTCTGTTTATTTCTGGACTTTCTTTAAACTGGCCGACAGAGCAGACTGCATGAGGACAGGAAACAGAGAATTAAGTTCATGTAACATTTGTTTATGTTGGTTCCCTATACAAGCACTTTCTATTAGTGTGTACTCCTCATCCTCTCATGCATCCCCTTTGATTCCCCTCCTACTTTAAGCTCTGGTTTCATAAGGATGGAAACAGTGTGCTGGCTATGAGCTTATAGCTTCAACTAAAAAGTTTTAGCAAATGCTGATGTCAGAGAAAGAGCCAGGGTTTATCTTAAAGAGCCCTCTTGAGTCATGAGGGAGTCCTACTAATCCTGGCTTAATCCTCAGTGATCCTCGGGGAAAACGTTCACCCAACCTGACTCTGCTCTCTTTGGAGGCTTTACCCTGACATGGAAAATCCTGTTTCCTTCAGCAGCTAATGCTGTTTTTGTTTCCCTGACTTCAGCACAGGAGCGTCAGTGTTTTGGATCAATTCTTCTGGATGAATAATGTTGACCTTTGAGTCTCTGTGAGGACATACAGTACCTAAAGCTGGAGCGCTGGCACTCCTGCACCGAACTGTTGTCAGAACACGAAAAAGAACAATCCGTGAGCAAAGATGACAGAGGAAAGAAACAAAGAGCAAAAACATGAAGCAAGTGAGGCACAGTAGGTTAAAAAGACATATTCAGAACTTAAAATGAGCCTTCATGTTAAACTCTTTGCAAACATTTGTTATGGAGGCCATATTGGCTTTACTCAGGTTAGTTGGGTACTGACTTGGCCTGAGCTTACCAATGGACTTCCAACAATAGAACACCCCCTCTGTTTTTCTAAATACACCTCGAAATGGTAAAGTTAAAGGGGTCAGATATTCATTTTAAGATAATCTGGTTAAATTCAAAGACAACGACTCACATGAGTCCCACTTTGCACTGAGTTGCTGGCATCAGACCTTAATAAGTCATTACAATCCCATTTGGGGGCCTTTATCGGCTCTAGCCTGGCCAGTCAGACTGACTTACACCATGTTCACCACATATCAGGATGGAAAGAAGCAGGTAGAGCCTAATTTCAAATGATTTGGCACAAAAACATCTTTAGAAAAGAAAAGCGCTTACAGCAGCCAGTTAAATTAAAAGATATATATATATATATATATAAACCTCGCTCTGTTGCAGCTGCAAACTTGACTGTTGCAGTTACAGAAAAGCCCTGTTGCATAATGGGCTCACTTGCCATGCTGTGATTGGTCCAGTCAGTTTTAGACCACACAGTGTTTTGCTGTACCAGACTGACTTATGCTTCGCAGTCAGTTTGTCTGGCCAGGGTATATCTGACCCACTTTCTAACAAAAAAGCCAAAATTAAAAAGTCCTTATTTTCTTCAATAAAATCATCTAACCTTACGAAATAATTTCATCCAATGTTATGACAAAAATAAACTTGCCAAATTAGCCAACTTAAATTGAGGAAAGCTAGCTAGGTGTGTTTCACTGATAGAGATCATCCCTAATAAACCAACATGGTGGAATTATGGATCAAAAAGGTCTAATGTGTCCCAAAATTAAACAATGGTGCCGCTTGTCGCTTGTGTGGTGAGTAGCTTGATTGTTATTGTAGGGGAGGGATTACATCTCCGGAGGGGGGGTGGGGGGTGGTGATAGAGGGAAGAAGATCTTTGAAGGGCTTTGGGTCTGGCTCCCTGTCTTGGTCCTGGTCCGTGCTGCCCCCTGGTGGGGCTTCGTCCGGGGTGGGGGCTCTGCGTGTTGCGCGTTGGCTGGCCGGCTGGGATTGTCCCTTCCCTTATTCATTTATTTATTTATTATTATTATTTTTTTTCTTATCTTCCTTTTATATTTATTTATTTATTTATTTATTTTTTTTATTATTATTTTTTTTTATTTAATTTATTTATTTATTTATTTTTATTTTATTTATTTATCTACTTATTTATTTTTATTATTATTATTATTTTTTTGGATGGACAGGACGGGGGGGGGGGTGGTGGAGTCGGCTCCGTGCCCGGCTGGCTGGTGGGTCCTGCTGCCGGTCCCGTGCCCCCGGGCTATGGTGGTGAAACTGGTGGGGCCCCCTTCTCTGGGGGGGCTCTCGGGGAACGGGGGTGCCTATTGGAGTCAGCGGGGGAGCTGGCTCCCTGGGAGTGCAGCAGGCACCCCAGTCCTTTGCTCCTCATCCCCGAAATCCTCCCTCTGCCTGCTCCATCACTCGGCCACACATGTAGGTTTTTGGGGAGGGGGTCGTTACTGGAGGGCCACACCTTCTGATGACGTCCCCCACCCCAATTTTATTTTGCATTTTAGACACTTCCATCTACATCATTTTCACAACACACATCTATGTAGGGCATTTTCGGGGGGTGGGGGTCAGGGCCACCGGGGGGGGCTTATTTTATGGGCCTCACCACGGTCGGCCTCCTCCATCCCCTCTCGCATCTAGACATTGAGGGTTGAGGGTTGTCGAAGGGGGAGGGTGTGCTGGCACCGTCTATCTCCTGGAGGGGGGGTGGAGTGTGCCGGACACCCCCTCTTGGTACTCCCAGTTTTAATTGCATCTGAGAGCAACACGCAACAACACCACATTCGAGCGGGCGCAGTGAGGATCGGGGTCTTCTCACACCCTTGTTCTCCGGCTGCCGCCTGGAGTCTGGGGCCTGGAGGAAGAGCGGGCCACCTGGTCCGTGTTTTTGGCTGGGGCTGGCTGCGGGGCCTAGGTGGCCTGCTGGTGGCGGGGCTGTCACCTCTGCTCTCCCCAAAGAAGGTTGGATGGAGGGGCATGAAGTGTCTGGTTGAAGGTTTTTTTTTTTTTTTTTTTTTTTTTTTTTTTTTTTTTTGTTCTTTTCGGGGGGGGGGGGGGGGGGGCGGTTCTGGTTGGGTGGCCGGCGCGGGATGGGTGGGCCCCGGTCCCGGGGGGGGCTCTTGCGGGGGGCGGTCCGGTCCGTGTGCGGGGTGGGGGGCCGGGCTTGAAGCAGGAAAGAGATGGGTTGGTGTGGCGGTGTCGCCGCTCCCCTCCCCTCACATCCGGATTTTAGGTTCACTTATGGGGTCATCCGATAGTCCCGGGACCGACCACCGGTGTCACCGGGTTTTTGGTCCTGGTATTATTGGATGTGAGTGTTATGTGTGAATGTGTGTCTGCGTTGTTATTTTCTTTATTTATTATTATTTTATTCAATTATTTTTTTTTTTTTTTTTTTTTTTTTTTTTTCCTGTGGTACGTGTGGGGGCACTAGGGTGGGAAGGCATGTTTGAGATGGTGTTTTTTTTTTTTTTTTTTTTTTTTTTTTTTTTTTTTTCTTTCCCAGGTTGGGGTCTCAACCGCACCCTCTCCCAAATACATCTCAAGTCTCCGCTAAGTGCGGAGCCCATTCCCCCCGTCCTGCTCTCCCTCCGCTGGCTGGCGTCGGGGCTCACCGGTGCACTGGTGGAGCTGGGGGTGGATGCCCGGGGGACTGCTGGCTCATTCCTGGCGGCCTCTCCACTGGCCCCGGCCGGCCGGGGCTTTGCTGGGGCTCCTGTCTGGGGGTGGGGTGCCCTTGGGGCCTCGGATCCCTGGGGCTGGATCCGCTTCGGGGTGGGGCTGGGTGTTGTTCGGGGATTTTCGGGGTCGGTGCCGGTGCCTTCGCTACGATGCCGGTTCCTGGGCAGTGTTTCTTTCCTATGCCGGTTCTGTGGTATCGGTTCGGGGAGGGGGGGAGCTGCGCGGCATGGTTGGGTGCGGGTCTTGGGTCCTGTTTTGGGCTCCGGTTTTTCCGCTCGCACTTCTCCTCTTGCCTATTTATTTTAATTATAATTATTAATTAATTTATTTATTTACCTATTTATTTGTTATTTTTTTTTTTTTTTTTTTTTTTTTTCTCTTCCTCGGTGGGGGGGAGCGGTTGCGGGCGGGTCGGTGTCTGGTGTCCGCTGTCGCATTTTGGGGGCCCCTTTTTTTTTTTTTTTTTTTCTCTTTTTTTCTTTGGGGGGTTTGGCATGTCTGTTTTCTCGGGGGGCAGGCGGGCCTGCTGGGTGGGGGTCCTGCTGGCGGCGCGCCGCTGGTGTGTGGGGGTCCGGGCGGCTCCGGCGGGGGTAGTGTTGGGGGGCCGGTCTGGGCGGGCTGGCTGCGCTGGCTGGGTATTCGGGTGGGTTTTCCCCCCTGGAGGCATGGCGGGGCTGCTCTGTTCCCACTGATCGCGGCGGGTGGGGCTGCGGGGCGGGTGTGGGCCTGGGGTGGCTATGACCGGCGCGTGGTGGGGGGCCGGGGCGGCGGAGCTGCTCTGGCCGCGTGTCGGGGCCTGGTGCGGGCTGCGGGGGGGGTGGCGGACGTGGCTGGGCTGCTTTGGCATCGTCCGGTGGGGGGGGGGGCGCGGTTCGCTCCGCTCTGGCTTTGTGCTGCCGCTCGGGCTGCTGGGGGGGGTGGTTGCGCCGGCTGCGGTCTGCTCCTCTTGCGGTTTTGCGCCGGGCGGCTTTTCTGCTCTCGGGCTGATTCTGTGCGCGGTGTGTTTCGTTGCGCGCTGTTGGCATCGGTCTTGGTGGGGTGGGGCTGCGCTTTTGGCCGGGGGGGCGTTTTGGGGGGGGTCCCGCGGCGCTCGTGGCCGGTTCGCGGCGGATGCGCATGGGCCCCGGCCGGGGGCGGGGCCGTCTGAGTGTTTTCCTGGGTGGTGCGGTCGCGGTGGGTGTTGCGGCCGGTCGCCGGGGCTTGGTGCGGGGGGCGGGGCGTGTTTCGGTGCTCTGTGGGGCTGGGGCGTTTCGGTCGGCGCCGTGGGGGGGCTGGTGTTCGGCGCCCGGCCCTACTTCGGGGTGGCCGGCTGCCGGCGGGGCCCGCGGACTCGTCCCCGCGGCTCCCCGGGGCGCCGGCATGGCGGTGGCTGGGGGGCTTCCTCGTGGCTGTCTCTCCTCCTGCCTTGGTGGGGTCTGATTTCCGGGGCTGGCCCCGCCTTGGTGCCTTCGCTTCTGGGGTCCCCTTGGGCGCCTGGGGCTTTGGGTCTCCCGGCGCTGGACTCAGTGCTCTGGGGGGTGTGCCTCTCCGGCTCTCCACAACCACTATTGAGCATTTTTTTCTATGGTTAAAACTTTACATGCACAAGTTCACCCTCACAAACAACTACAGGTGCTAGGCTTCAGGTACTTAGAGATTCACTTCCAAACAGAAACCCCACATTCATATCTTCAGGTAACACAGAGTACATGTCAGACTTAATAATATTACGTTAGCGATAGTTTCAAGGTGTTTGCTTTATTGTATATCTCGTACCATGTTTTTTGGTTGTGCTGTTCTTTTTTCTTTTTTTTTTTTTTTTTTTTCTCCATCTCATTACAGGTGTTGAAGCAGACTGAAAATGTTTTGTCATTGTCTCCTTCCTATCTCCTCTTTCTTTCATCTTTTGTCCTGTTTTTTTCTTTTTCTTTTTCCTTCTTCTTCTTCTGTTTTTCTGCTCTACTTACATTGCAGTGTCCATATAAACTGTAAAACTCTCTGCATATTTATAATAAAGCAATTTATATACCTGAAACAAGTGGAGCGGTATGGCAATTGCGATACCGCTACACTTGTGAAAGTAAAATCTGTTGGGCTCCTTTTGGCATCAAGACAATTATTCTTATTGCCACCTTGCCAGACAGGACACTGTAAAAAAAAAAAAAAAAAAAAAAAAAAAAAAAAAAAAAAAAAAAAAAAAAAACAATGGTGCCTGTATGTCTAATAACAAACTTGATTATGCTATTATATCAGTCACAACTAAAATATGAACTTTTAAATCAGTATGAGGGACATGCAGCTACATTATGATTGGTACACTGGAAAAAACTAAGTCATTTTTTCTTAAAATAAGTGCATTTTTTTCTTGAATTGAGGAGGTAAGTGAGAAACTTTGCCAATGGAACAAGACCATTTAAAATTAAAATAAGAAAAAAAAACAACTGAATTGTCTTATTTAAAGTGCATATTATCTATTTATCTTATTTTAATACAAGTGTGGAAATATACTCATTCCACTGGCAAATCATCTTATTTTTCTACTCAAATTAGGGGTAAATACGCTCAATTTAAGAAATGTTGACTTATTTCTAGATTGTTTTTGCCGTGTAACTAGGAGGGCTGGGATGCAGACTGGTTAACAGAAATGTTTGGTTATACAACAATGTCCCACTCTTCATTCTGCAAAATAAGAGCTAGCATTTAAAAATAAAAACCTTTTCTACAACCGACTTTTCACAAATATGTAAAATCAAATGGGAAAAAGATACATATTTAATATATATATAAAACATATATATTAGTTAATCAATGTATTTAATGCAAAAAAAAGGTTTATTTAATAATTTTCAATATTTTAGAGTATCGAAAGCTGTTTACCAAAGCCATTATGAAAAAGAAATACAATATTTGTATGAATATAAACTAAATAATGAAGAAAAACAAAACAGAATATTTGCATATTTGCTTCAGTTGTAATTCAGAATGTAAGGTTAATCAGTGAGAGCTTATTTAGTTCAACAGCCTACATGTGATGCTTTTCATAACAGAGCCCTAAATTAGGCGTAAGCCTGTTGGGAAGAAACCCAAAATTACTTTTCTGAGATAAAATCTGCGTCCACTTCAAGATGACGTCGCCTCATCAAAGAGATATTTAACGCTATTTTAACAAGTAGGCGACTCTATAATGAGATTTAGAGCCATCTAGAGGAATATGTGGTGGATTCTTTACCTTTAAATGCAACACTATGCTGTGTCTGTTTTGGTTTCTTATTTACATTTAGGGTAACACAGAAAATAGAAAAATCTAAAACATATAACACCAAATATCAATTAAATAAACCAAAATGACTATAGCTCCCATTAATAGTAAGTCGAAATTATAAAATGAATAAAATAGCTGTAATATTTGTACATACGGAAAAAAAGTCGGAAGGAATCACAGAATACGCGGATCCACAGAGTTCTGTTTATTTCAGACATGGTGACCATAAAACCTGCTTATCAGCTGAACAATAAAGTTAATAAAAAAAGGGATTTAAAAATACTCACTCAGGGTGTACTCTCTGCTGTGGGACGGTGAGAGCTGGACGGGGGATAAATATTCGGTGTCTCTGCCTCTAGGGCCGTTCAGCTCTTCTTTGGGTTCTTTCTTTTTACCCAGTTTCCCTGGCAGAGTTTGATACTTGCTCAGCTCCATTTGAGGACTCTGCAAAAGGTTAAAAATCTAATATTATTAAGCCATCTTTTGCAGCAAAACTGTATATAATAACTTCTAACCCGCCACATAAAATTAGTTGCTACCAAGTTTACAAACATAGTGTGTCTCTAAAATGACCCTCATGATTTCCATTTTAAATTTATCCAGCTCTGATATTCTGTTAAAAAAAGCATTTTTATTGTGAATCTAAAACTGTTTGGAGTCCCTCTGTCATAAGCTAGGTGGGTGGTAATGATTTGGAATGCCCTTTCGCCCCATTGCATAACAAAATGTCCTGTAGAGGGTGAATCTCTGACGATGCAAGAATCTGAACAGGCATCAAAGTCAGCGGGTGGGGGGGCGGGGGGTCCGTAGGAGCGACTGGAGAAAGGCCAACAGACAGAAAGTGCTCAGAGGCAGAGATGATGCCGAGCGCTACAGACAGCCACTTCAGGTAGGTCTTGTCCTTTTTGTTGGTGTGTGCAAAACCTGTGTGTATGAATTTATTTTTTCCCCCCCTTGTAGATGCCAGGCATTGGAAGCATTAGATTATTTAAAAAGAAGAAGGGGGTGGGGGGCAATCAGGTTACATTTGGCACATTTCAGCTAAATAGAGACCAGAAGGTCAAAGTGCAGCTGAACTGTCTCCTTACAATGTTTTTATCACAAGTTGCATTTTACATAGATAGTAGGTGGCCTCACAGTTCAGCTTTTCTCTTTTTTTGTCTCTGTTGAAAATAATTTAAGCTATAAACAGTAAAAACAATAAAATAAATATATATACACATATATATATATATATATATATACACGGTATATATATATATATATATATATACCTTATTTTATGCAACGTAGAGTCGCATAGAGAAATAAAGTGGGAAGAGATTTAACTTTTATGCCAAAAGAAAAAGTAAACTGCATCAGTTCTTTTGAAAAATTATTTAGAAAATATGAGCATGCTAATTTAAACGTGTATTCTTAATAGTAGTCTATTAACAATCACACTTTTAGCTGCAAAATGTACATGTATAGAATGTACAGTTATATGAGAAGGCTTTGTGGCTCAATAAAAGCTCTCAGTGTCAAACAAGAAACCATAAAAAAAGCAATTATTAACCATGTAAAACTAGTTATTAAGACAACTTTAAAAGATTACAGTATATTAAATCAATATATCACAATATGTTGTTTTATTTTTAATGCCTTATTTATGAAATTAAGAAAAAGCTGAACTTTTTTGTTCCTACTGTACGCAGCATAAAATAGGTTTATACTCAGCGAGGCATCAAAACTGAAGCAGAATAATGAGCCTGAATGTGTTTAAGCTTCTTTTTTCAAGTAGCTTTTCCCCTCTAAAGCTTTGATCTATAATGCGCATCTATGAAGCCTGTGGTGCAGGGATGCATGTGCACATGCAGCAGATCAGTACCTCTGCCCCTACGTCTGATTCAGTTTCAACTGGCTGGATCTCTAAAGCCTAAAAGCAAAAGAAAGAGAAGAGAAACAGGAAACATGCAGAAATAGAGAGTTAGCAGGTTAGCCTCCCCAAAGCTTGAAGAGCATGGATGAAGTTAGCCCCTCTTTTACAAAGGATTAAAACCTCACAGGGATGTTTTAAAAATGTAAAATCAAATTTGCCAAAACATGGATGATTTATTCAGACTAGCATAAATGCAGCAGTCCTCTTTACGCCTGACAGAGCTGTGAAAGTTCACAGTAATTGTGTTTTGTTGTGAAATGTAACCTCTACAATAGCATATATTGCTTAGCCTTTTTCTAAGCCTACAAACTCATAATGCAAACTCAACACAGGGAGTACTTGAAGGGATTTATTAAAATGATTCACTTCAAACAATCCACACTTTAAATACAGTGCTATTATAAAGCGGAATGGACTGCTCTCCCCTCTAGAGCACAGTTTATAGCACAATGAATGACGCACACAGCTCCAAATTGTGCCCACGCTAGTGTAGGCTGACTTCTGGACGATTGATGAAAGTTAAAATCAGTGAAAAGAAGCCCTGGCATAACAATGGGCAATGAAGAAAAGAGGAGGACAAGGTCTAGTGGTGGCAAATAAAGTTTATGATGAAAATGTTCATATTTTTGGCTCAGAGCCTCAGTTTAATTGTTTAGTGATCAATGTAAAGGATTTTACATTTCATTTCATTTTCCCTTCCTTCCTCTGTATGCCTGACACTGATAAGCTGATGAACAGTGGCAGGGATTGCTGTTCCACATCAAAGCTGAAATTATTGGTTTCTGTACCTTAACCTTTAGTTTCAGGCTTAATACAGAAGGTAAATCCAAATCCGCTTCAGGGGGCCTCGCTGTTTGTTGAAAAGTTAAGGTAGAGGTGCTGTATCCTCCAAGCAGATGGGGATATTATAAAGAAGTGTTGAAATCAACAAGCATTGCGTTAACTTCATCGATGAAGCAAGAGAAATCCCATTATCCAGGTGCTAAGAAAAATTGTATATAAGCATCATGCCTGCTTTTATTTTCCCAATCCAGCTGCACTGAAAGGTTTTGGGGGACTTGGCTGTCGGTTTTAATCCAATGTGAACAGGGCTTAGATAGAGCTCAGTTAATGTTATAAAGAAAGATATTTAAAGGTACACTATGCAACCGGTGTTGATTTTCCAGCGAGGCTCCCCCAGAGGGCGAAAGTAAAAGTGCACTGTCGTAAATATGCACAGCTGTTCTCCTGGTTTCTCCGTCAAGCCAGGCGCGGTTGTTTTGAGCTTAGCAGACAGGCGAACGCAACGCATGACTAACGCTGCGTTCACACCGCAGCTGGCGCGACAGAAGCAGCGAGTTTACATGCAAAGTCAATGGTTGACGCGCGTCAAGGCGCAGCAAAAGGTCCCGCGGCGCGTTTTGAGCAGCAGGCGCAGCACGTCTGAGCAGCTGAAGCAGCGCGTCAGGCGCGTTTAATCATCTGACGCAGGGAGAGAGACACAGCGCTGATGATCAGAGGCTATGATCACTCCTCTTAAACAGTTTATTGACGCCTAAATTAACTTAAAATGCAGAAATCTGCCGGCAGAATATGTTCGCTTTTATTATCCTGCTGCCTGCAGTTTGGATTATTTAGATGAAAAACACCTACCAGCTGCTGCGGTGAACCGCGAGGAGGCGACCCGGCCAGAGGCTGCTGATGAAGGGGTTCCTTCTGTCGGCGCACCACTGGTATGTGGGGGTCTGAGCGGCTCCGACAGAAAAAATATTGAAGGCAGGATAATAATCTGAATGAACTGACGGCACTGATTACGTTTTCAGGTGTATTTTCTCATTTAAACACATATTAAAACTACTTTATTCCCACTGATCACAGCAAATATAGCTGCAAGGCAGAGAAAGGATAGTGAAGCTCCGCCCAACGCGCCTCAGACACACTTTTGCACCGCGCAGCCAGAGCAGCAAAGCTGCTTCAGCCGCGCGTCAGAACTAACTGGTACAAGCAGTAAAAATGAAGCAGCAGACGCGATTTTGCTGCTTTTGCTGCGTCCGATGTGAACGTAGCATAACTGCACAAAGATCGCCACTGCGCTAGCAACGAGAATGCTTTTAACTGGGGGGTGTAGCAGTTCTCGCCGTAAAGCAAGACTGACTCTCGCGAGACTTCTGAGCCTGTGGGTGCGGGTCGGTGCTCCTGCAGTTGCAAGTGCAGTATTTCCCCCACAGACCACCAGGGCGGCCGAGAATACCTTTGTTCAACCTGAAATGACTCATTTAATCATCCAAAACGTTATGGAACACATTAATTAACTGAAAAATGTTGCATAGTGTGCCTTTAAAAGAACAACAGGGGCAAATATCGATAGCTGCATTTGATTAATAGATTAGTTGATTAGTTTGACATTAGTTGATTTGTGAGTTATAGCAAGAGACCTTTTGGAAACTTCCACTTTGCAACTCTTCAAGACTGCTGGAGAGTAATCTGTGTCGATGCCTGGAAAATAAATCAGCATACTTAAAATAAATGAATCTATTGCAGGTTAAATGTTACAAACTGCTGCAGAACTTACAATGATCCATTTATGAGACTTGTATAACCAGTGGTTACAAATGACGTGTCCACTGAGTTCTGGAAACTAAAAGGAAACGACATGCGGTTAGTCAATAAAACTTGGCTTTCTTTTTTTTCTCTATTTGCATAATTTTACCTGGAATCCAAATCTCTCTGAAAGGGGGATGAAGAAAGCATGAGTGGAGAAGATCCTCTTGAGGAAATCTATGCAGAAAAATACATTTTGCACTTTAAACATACATATTTTAAGCCACTAGAGAAAGGTTTGCATTTTTTAAGGTTATGAGGTCACCTCTGATCTGATCATGTCAGAATGAGCTTTGTGTGTGATAGCTTTTAGCTTCAGAGTGCCGCTCAGCTCCTCTTCACTACTTCCTGTTGGTTAACAATAAGAGTTATTAAAGTTACAGAGATTGTTACAAATTGTGTCTTTATAAGAAAAAAAAACCTTACCATGTGTGAGTGCCATGACTTCCTTCATTTTTCTATACTGGCCAAGCAGGACAGTCAACTCCTCTATACGCCGATCCTATTATCATGTTTTGTTGTTTAAAATGTAAGAAATTTAACCATAAATGGTAATACTGGTAAAAAAATTGGATTCCATTTACCTTTTCATCATTTGAAGCCAACAAAGACTCCATCCCCACCTTCAGCCTCTGGTATTCCTGGTCTAACACAGTAAAAAGGAGGCATTTTCAAAGGGATCTTGCACAGCTTTCATGTAAGTTTGTTCACGCCGTGTGACGGTTGCCTTCAGGCGTGTTGGCGACAGATGTGACAGCCATGCTAATGCGAATAAACAAGCAAAACAAATGCACGGTGACAGCACAAGCGGCCTCACAGCATCACCTGGAACAAACATCACAGTTTGATGCCTGAGAAAGACGAATGGGGTCAGGCAAAAAAAAGCACTTACTTTCCTTCAGCATCCTTTTAAATAGAGACACATACACTATATTGCCAAAAGTATTTGCTCACCTGCCTTGACTCACATATGAGCTTAAGTGACATCCCGTTCCTAATCCATAGGGTTCAATATGACGTCGGTCCACCCTTTGCAGCTAGAACAGCTTCAACTCTTCTGGGAAGGCTGTCCACAAGGTTTAGGAGTGTGTTTATGGGAATTTTTGACCATTCTTCCAGAAGCGCATTTGTGAGGTTGCACACTGATGTTGGACGAGAAGGCCTGGCTCTCAGTCTCCGCTCTAATTCATCCCAAAGGTGTTCTATCGGGTTGAGGTCAGGACTCTGTGCAGGCCAGTCAAGTTCATCCACACCAGACTCTGTCATCCATGTCTTTATGGACCTTGCTTTGTGCACTGGTGCACAGTCATGTTGGAAGAGGAAGGGGCCAGCTCCAAACTGTTCCCACAAAGTTGGGAGCATGGAATTGTCCAAAATGTCTTGGTATGCTGAAGCATTCAGAGTTCCTTTCACTGGAACTAAGGGGCCAAGCCCAGCTCCTGAAAAACAACCCCACACCATAATCCCCCCTCCAACAAACTTTACACTTGGCACAATGCAGTCAGACAAGTACCGTTCTCCTGGCAACCGCCAAACCCAGACCCGTCCATCAGATTGCCAGATGGAGAAGCGCGATTCGTCACTCCAGAGAACGCGTCTCCACTGCTCTAGAGTCCAGTGGCGGCGTGCTTTACACCACCGCATCCGACGCTTTGCATTGCACTTGGTGATGTATGGCTTGGATGCAGCTGCTCGACCATGGAAACCCATTCCATGAAGCTCTCTGCGCACTGTTCTTGAGCTAATCTGAAGGCCACATGAAGTTTGGAGGTCTGTAGTGATTGACTCTGCAGAAAGTTGGCGACCTCTTCGCACTATGCGCTTCAGCATCCGCTGACCCCGCTCCGTCAGTTTACGTGGCCTACCACTTCGTGGCTGAGTTGCTGTCGTTCCCAAACACTTCCATTTTCTTATAATACAGCTGACAGTTGACTGTGGAATATTTAGGAGCGAGGAAATTTCACGACTGGATTTGTTGCACAGGTGGCATCCTATCACAGTTCCACGCTGGAATTCACTGAGCTCCTGAGAGCGACCCATTCTTTCACAAATGTTTGTAAAAACAGTCTGCATGCCTAGGTGCTTGAATTTATACACCTGTGGCCATGGAAGTGATTGGAACACCTGATTCCAATAATTTGGATGGGTGAGCAAATACTTTTGGCAATATAGTGTATTTTACAGGGAAGCCAGATGTGTTTACTGGACCATATCTGCCTTAGTAAAAAGCAAACTCTGCGATGCTTTTTGGATCTCTGTTGCTAAAGTCTTGATGCAAACAGCAAGTAGTTGGATTCTACAGCTTCTTCACTGTAATTAAAATCTAAAATTTTATACCAAAATCTGAACTTTTTCATTGCACTAAAGTTCTGAAAGCTTTTCAAAAAGCCTTTTTTCGTTTAGGTGTTAAATATTAAACATTATCTCTTAATTATCTTGGATTTAGATCTTAATCTGCTCAAAGTACCTTATTTTTGTAAGGTTTACCAGTGTTAGTTTCCCAACTGTTCCATAATGAAGGGATTTTAATTCATGCAAATTTGCATATTTATTATTGGTTGCTTCCTACAACCATAAATTGTAGGACTTACAGTGGAAAAAGTCATTTCATTTACCTTTTAATCTATTGAAATAATCTTAGTTGCCTGTTTAAACTAACTGAAGTTAATTTTGGAAATTGTCTAGTGAGCAGATTGGGATAATCTGCTCTTGCATCACTATTAATTTACTGGAAAAACACTTGGACAAATAAAATTTTTTATTCAACTTTTCCACAATAAACAGCTTTAGGTCAAGACTGACTCTTAACTCAATATAAAGGAATTTTAAAATTATATCTATATATTTAGCTTTCAAATCAAGGCTTTTATTTACTAAACATTTATGGAATTCACTTTTTCTTTCATTATTCCTATTTTATATTAATCAGGTGGATATCAATAAAAAAATGTATTAATTTCTGCCATATTTCTCAACAATCAGTGTAGATATTGGTTTAAGGAGAATTTAGAGAAGCCAAATTAACCTAAAAGTCATGTTTTGGACTATAGGAGGAAGCCGGAGTACCCGGAGAGAACCCACGAATGCTCATGGAGAACATGCAAACTCCATGCAGAAAGACCCCAGGCCGGGATTCCCACCGGAAACCTTCTTGCTGCAAAGCAGCAGTGCTACCCACTGCACCACTGAGCAGCCATAATTCAAATAAATAAGTGAAATAAATAAAGGGAGAATAATCTGGCTTATTTGTAAGTAAATTCTTACTGTAAAGTCTAGTGAAGAAGAGACGCCTGTTCATTTTTCTAACATTGTATAGTAGACAAAGAGCTGCATGGATTTCTAGTTAGAGACTCAGAAACCTTGATTAATATGAATTCAAAATGTTCCTTTACATCTGTGCCACTGATGATTTTGTTAAATTATTTCTCTACTATACTATTTCTCTAATATATGCACAGCTCTAGAGCACGTTTGCACGGTATGACTGCTAGTCACAGCTGGGTACAGAATGCATGGGCTGGGGTTCTTTTTCTTTCACCTTTTCTCACTCATTGCACTCTCTTAATTTTCTGTCTTCCTTTTCCTTATTCGTCTGCTTCTTCCCTGTGGTCCACACAATCACAAGCACACGGTTTGATGCTACCTGGGTCTAGGTATAACTATTTATTCAGAGGCATGTACTTTTCATCTTCTCACTCACACCTATGGTGAATGTAAGGTTTGTGACATGGAATGTGCATGGGGCTGGCACCAGAGAGAAGAAGCTTAAGATTTTTAACCAGCTTAAAAGATTAAATGCAGATGTTGTCTTATTGCAAGAAACCCATAAATCAGCGGCATCTATAAGTGATCTTAACTCCCCTGAGTTCCCTGATGTGTTTGCAGCCTGCTATAACTCTAGACAGAGAGGGGTAGCTATTTTAATCCACAAAAACCTCAGTTTTACTTTATTAGACAAAATTATAGATCCTGATGGCAGATTCATCATAATTAAAATATCTATTTATAACCAAAAGTTGTGTATTGTCAGCATATATGGTCCAAATGTTGACGACCCCTCATTCTTCCACAAAGTTTTTCATGCACTTTCAAAGCACGGGGATTGTTCTCTAATTATTGGGGGTGACCTCAACTTTGGTCTAAATGGAGAAATGGACAGGTTGAGTACAACAGGGACCCAGCGCAGTTGGCAATCATTAAATGTAGTCAAACAATACATGAGTGATTTTGGTCTTTGCGATGCATGGCGACCTCTTCATCCTAACAGTAAGGAATACACTTTCTTTTCCAATGTCCATCATTCCTACTCTCGTCTGGACTATTTCCTAATCAGCAGCTCACTGCTGTCTGACGTCTCAGATGCTGTAATCCATCCTATTGCTGTCAGTGATCATGCTCCTGTTACTTTAACCCTAATAAATAAAAAAATAGCCCCACAAAACAAGAGCTGGAGATTAAATACATCACTGCTTAAAGATGAAGAGTTTCTCAAATTTTTCAAGGAAGAGTGGGCATCATACTTGGTGTGCAATGATTTACCAGGAACATCAGCATCTATACTTTGGGAGGCAGGGAAAGCAGTGATGAGAGGTAAAATTATTTCATTTTCATCTCATAAAAAAAAGTTAGAACAAAAAAAGATCCAGGAATTAGAGGGAAAAATAAAGTTACTAGAAAGCTCGCTAGATGAGGAAAAGTTAGGGGAAATCCGTAAAACAAAACTAGAACTAAACGAATTTATTGAAAAACAAAATAAATTTTTAATTCAAAGACTTCGAATTGACAACTTTGAACATAGCAATAAGTCAGGAAGCTTCTTAGCTAACCAGCTAAAAATAAACAAAGAAAAAACGACTATATTTGCAGTTACAGATTCAATTGGTAATACATTACAGGATCCGGAGGATATTAACAATGCCTTCCGAGATTTCTATAAATCTTTATACACATCACAGTTAAATCCATCAGATAATGATATCAAGCGATTTCTGGATAAAATAACTCTTCCTAAATTATCAGAGAGTCAAAGAGCGACCTTGGACTCACCGCTGTCTACAGCTGAAGTTCAGGAAGCATTAAAAAACATGCCAAATAATAAAGCGCCAGGTCCAGACGGGTTCCCTACTGAGTTCTATAAAGAGTTCTGGGACATTCTGGCCCCAACGTTCCACAGAATGCTGCAGGAAACTGTAGATAATGGCAAATTTCCAGTTAATATGAATTCTGCCACCATTAGTCTCCTGCTTAAGCCAGGCAAAGATCCTATGTTTCCGACCAGCTATCGTCCCATATCCTTAATTAATGTGGATATTAAAATAATCTGTAAAGCTTTAGCAAAACGGTTAGATAAAGTCACTCCTCTCATAATCCACCCAGATCAAACTGGTTTCATTAAAGGGAGGCAGTCAGCTGCTAACACACGCAGACTGCTGAATTTAATAGATTATTCCTACAGCAAAAATCTTAAATCCTATATATTGTCCTTAGATGCAGAAAAAGCATTCGATAGAGTAAACTGGAAATTTTTATTTGCTACTCTACATAAATTTGGCTTTGGCAATTCCTTTATAAATTGGTTAAAAATATTATACAGCTTCCCAACAGCCTGTGTCAGGACAAACAATCAAACATCTTCCAGTTTTTGTC